CATGTCACATAACTACCCACCTTACGATGTGTGTACCCAGGTGATACATGTTTGTTTTGTAGCTGCTTTGTTTCTATTTTCTTTCATTTTTTACGTAATATTACAAATAATTATATTTCATCTATAGTTTGGATATGCTGTGTTAAATTCATGCTATTTTTCCTTATGATGTAACCTTTTTTCTTTTTTAAATTATATATATAATTGCTCCTCTGACTGAGGCAACCTCCTTTCCTACCATCCACCAGATGTTGGTTCCCAGGGATCTGGTGTTGGTTGAAGCCAGACCAGCCACATAGTGTGACAGAAAGATTGAGAAACCCTCTGTGCTGTTTTTATGCAGTTGATTATAGCAATTCGGAAGCCAATTTCAGCAGAAAGCATAATTAAAGGTTTTAAAAAATGTTGTATATCCAATGCAATGGATGGGACAGATGATAACATGATGTGAGAATCAGAAGTAGATGAAGCAAATCGAATGAAAGCAATGAATCTGATGGTAGAGACAATTCTAGCAATGACGAAGATTTATCTGAAGATGAATGATTAACTTAGTGTATTACCACATATAAATTTTTCAATAAATTTAGTAAAATTGACACATAAAAAAATCTAAATGAATGTAATATATGAAAGCAATAATTAAATTACGTTGATAGTTGTTTACTGTATTTCAAAACTATTCAATAAATTTTGTGCAACTGGTGTTTAAAAAAAAAATTTATTTAATTTAACCTTTCAAAATCAGGTGCCCCTTATATTCTGACAAATATGGTATTAGCATAAACATTTTATACACTGGAGACACTTACTATCCCAGTAAGTTATTGTCAATTTAAAATTATTCTGTTTTAACATAGACATGTAATTTTACTTTTGGTCTCTAAAATAAATTTCATTTCTTGTGATTTTATCCATGTTGATGTGTTTAATATTTGTACTTCATTGTCAAATATGTACTTCATGTTTGCATTGAAGGCCTCCCTCATGTTTACATGGTGTGGTGCAAAATTTAGTGATACAAAAGTAGACAGGTTCTGTTAGAAATAGTCTCCCACTATAGAAAAAGATATTAATAATATCCTTCTTTGAAAAACATATAATTATTTATATGTTTCCTCATACATATTGCATCACCAGGTGTCAGTGAAATTCAACTGAATACTGTAACTAGTAGCAAAGTTAATTTAGAGACTATACTAAGGTTTTATATTTTAGTTTCAAGAACTTATGAACGTATGATGTCCTGTTCACCGTTTTTATTAGATCTGGGTCACTGCTGAGAAACAAGGGAAGAAAAGTGCAACTTTTTTTTGGCCTGGTTCAGACGTGAAGATCAAGGGAGTGCGACCAACTTATTTCCGTACCTACAACTAGTGGGTGTTTTTAGTATTTTCACCAAATATTTAATTATCCAGTGTAATTTTGTGGTGTGAATATCAAACCAAACTGAATACTTTGGTAGATATAAAAATATGTGAGGATTTGTAAAGTTGACATTAAAAAAAAAGAAGAGGTTATTAGTATCATGATTTTCCTGATAAGGCTGTTTGTGTTAATTACTGATACAAATGATTATATACACTTCACAAAAATATTAAAACTTAATAGTTTTTAAGGCTATAGAAAATGAAGCAAGTGTCATTCAGTTGGAAATTGTAGAAATTATCTCGTAAGATTTGAGGAAGTGGAAAATATAGATCAGAAATAAGGATCAAGCTTCATTATATATCAACTAATGGTACTGGCAGTGGCACTTTTCCCTAGTTTTGAACGATTTTGAGCCAGAAAGATTTTTAACAAAAACTGGAAATGTTATTGTATATAACGGTAAATGTCTGTCCCTGATATTCTTAACAATGAAACGAAAAACTGAAAAAAATATCTCAATATTCAAAACCTTCACATCACTAGCTGCATTTTCCAGTGGAAAGATTAATAAGTTATCATATTTGGAGTTATTTATACGTGATAAAAGTTTCACTGCAACAAACTAATTACAATACTTCCAATATAGGAGTCATGGTTTCCATCTCATTGCCTCAAAATCAGCTCCCTATTATGCGGCATTAGTGAATTTTGATATTGATCATCAAATCAATACATACTACTATTTGATTAAATTAGTTAAAGAATTGTTGGTGGTTATCTAGTTGCCTTCCTTCTAGCTTATTAGCACAAGATTAGAGATGGCTAGTGCAAGTTGCCTTCCTTTTAGCTTATTAGCACAAGATTAGAGATGGCTAGTGCAAATTGCCTTCCTTTTAGCTTATTAGCACAAGATTAGAGATGGCTAGTGCAAGTTGCCTTCCTTCTAGCTTATTAGCACAAGATTAGAGATGGCTAGTGCAAGTTGCCTTCCTTCTAGCTTATTAGCACAAGATTAGAGATGGCTAGTGCAAGTTGCCTTCCTTTTAGCTTATTAGCACAAGATTAGAGATGGCTAGTGCAAGTTGCCTTCCTTTTAGCTTATTAGCACAAGATTAGAGATGGCTAGTGCAAGTTGCCTTCCTTTTAGCTTATTAGCACAAGATTAGGGATGGCTAGTACAGATAGCTCTTGTGTACCTTTGCATGAAAAGTTCAAACAAACAAATAATCAGTCTGATGTCAGCCACATATGTTATGACTGAACAGAAGTCACAGATTCTAGGTAAAAATAATAAGTTTTATTTTCATGGGATTTGACAATTAACCCTTTCATGGCAGACTCGGTATAATATACATGAGTTAAGTATTTATACTGTTACTTTTAATGCAGAAAGTGTATCTTCACAAAATTTGGTAGATTTTAATAAAGATTACAAGTCAGATTTTTTAATGAAGTATTTGTATTATATATTTGTTTGTGAAAATACCGAGTCTGTTTCATTACTAGTCCAAGTGTAAAATGATTTTCAGGTTATAACTAAAAAACTATTGTTCATCCCAAAAATCTCAAATATTATTTCTGTAATCTCTAAAAACCCCTAAATACATTTCAAATGTTTGTTTTCAGTAAAACTATATATTTTTTTCTGTTATTTTCTCTACCCTAACTCTATGGGGTCTGTCAATTTGACCAGCCTCGTAACCACCATAAAAAAATAGGAAATATATTTAAATTATGCTTTTTTCGTTCTAGAATGAGTATAGATTATAACACGAAAACATAAATGTTTAGTCTACATAGCGTAAATCTTGTAACATTATACATTTATATATATTTATTATTTTTATTATACTGACCTTCCAGCCATGCCTGGCTAACAGTACAGAAGCTACGATGACATGGCGCATGTGCACTCATGATACTGTATCCAATAACATAAAAGTGGCTTTTAGTCTTTACAATATTACCTGTCTTGGCTGTGTTTTAGTGGACTAGTATTTGGCAAGATACAGTCACGTTTCAATTACTATATATTATATACATTAATACTATTTACAAATAAGTTCTTAAACAATTATTTCTTCTAATTATGACCTTTGTACTCCTTTGCTGCTTGTCGTAGGTTGCTAAGCTTTATGAAATTTTCCACACGAAGGGTGTGAAAAGAAAACTTTTTTAGGTTACTTGAAATTACTATATCGATACCATAGAATTCTACTATAATTTATCAAGCTTAGTAACTAAGCTGTATTTGGGTCTAAAAAAATATGAAATTTTGAGTCACTAAAGACTTACCTTATTGTTTGAAATCTTTTGTGAAAAGAATGAGATTAACGCAATATCACGTCAAAATGGCTGAGAAAACTACTAGGGGGACATTCTGAGTTTTTGATTGGCTATTCATGTCATATATAGCAGTATGTATAAATAAAAATGGAAAAAAAGTGAGAAGTAGGCCACTGTGTTTCATTCAGTACATGAGCGATATCTTAGCAAATAGAAAAGATGAGAGGTTCTTATTTGATATCTTAGCTTGTCAATATCGGTAGTTTGAGTTCCTAATTTATACGAAACTATAGACTTAGTATTTTGACATCACAAACATCTAATTTGAACCAGTGCTGTATTTAACATACCATGTGACACACAAAAATCATGTTGAGCTGTGTTTTTAATATTTACTTTTAAATTAATGAATTAACTAATCTATAATTACTAAAATTTGATTTATAATCTACATTTTGATACCAAACTTATTGATATAACTCTATAAAATACTAGTTCAATAAAATTTTGAATCCAAGTCAACAAATGCGATGACATGGCTTTTGACACGTGACCCATCACAATAGGATTAAACCAAAGATAACTGAGCATTACTTTTGAGTTGGTACATCACTTTTTTTGAATTT